GGGGGGGGGGGGAATAAGAGGTACATACTTCTAGTTATAAAATAAATGAATCACAGGAATGTAATGTACAGCAAAAGGAATAGAGTCAATAATACTTATAATAACTTTGTGCACTGAGTTGGCTACTAGACTTACAGTGCTTATCACGCAGTAAGGTATATAAATGTCAAATTACTATGTTGTACACCTGAAACAAATTTAATATAGTATGTCAACTATACTTCAATAAAATTTTTTAAATGATCTAGGAGAAAACTTGGGAGAATTTGACAAAAATTAAGATGAGATATAAATTATTATAGAGCTGATAAAGATATAAAGTCATTCTAATCATAATGAACTTTTTCTTAGTATTCATAGTCAAATAAATAAAATATTAATGAATATACTACAATAATTCTTCAGAAAATCTGACAAGCATAAATGTAAGTAATTTGGTAGAACTACAATAAAGAAATAAAGGTGAGTTAAGATTCTGCTGTGTAGTCTCATTAAAAGAATACATATTATTAATTAGTAACATTATAAATGAAGAGTCTGGAGATATAATATTGTCTAAAATCATTTCCTCTTCAATACTGTGTACTGGCTCTATTTCACTTCTTCCTTATACACACACACACATTTGCACATGTATATGTAATAAAGGAATTCAAGCTCATCAACTGTATGTATACTGCAAAGGAACTGGGGGATTAGGTCTGTTAAAAACAGCCACTGATAAAAACAGAATGGAGGTTCCTCAAAAAATTAAAAACAATTACCATTTGGTCCAGCAATAGCACTTATGGGTGTATATCCAAAACAATGATATTAGAGCCCTGATGAGATATTTCTAACACCCATATTCATAACACTACCACAAGAGCCAAAAGATGAAATCAACCCAAGGGCCCACTGATAGATAAATCAAGAAACCATTAATACACACAATGATGTATTGTGTGGTAAGTGCCCTTGAGTCAGCTCTGACTCCTGAAAACCTTAGAAATGAGTGATGTTCACAAAATCCTAGTTTTAACAGCCCTCTCAGCTCTTTTAGACTCATGCCTATGGCTTCTTTTAAGGAGTCAATCCATCTCGTATTTGATGTTCCTCTTTCCTAATGCCTGTATTTTTCCCAGCATTATTATATTTTCCAAGGAGCCCTGCCTTCTCGTGATATACCCAAAGAATGAAAGCATCAGTTTTGTGATTTTTGTCTCCAGTGAAATTTCAGGATTAATTTGCTCTAGGACCCACTTGTTTGTCTTTTTGGTAGTTCGGGTATCTGTAGAGGAATATTACTAAGCCTTAAAATGGAAGGAAATTCTAACACATGCTATAACATAGCTGAATCTTAAGGACATTTTGCTAAGTGAAACAGGCCACTAACAAAAAGACAAATACAGTATGATTTCACTTATGTAAGGTATTTAGACTAGTCAAATTCATAAAAACAGGAAGCAGGAGGATAGCTGTCAGGGATTGGTGAAAAGGGAAAGGGAGAATTACAATATAAAAAATATACAGTTCCAATTTGCAAGGAGAAAAAGTTCTGGAGGTGGCCTGCACAAAGGTAAGAATACATATACTACTGAACGGTATGCTTAGGGTTGGTTAAGAGGGTAACTTTATATCTTAACACAACTGAACATAACAAGCACTGTTAATAACTCCTTATAATACTTAATTTTCTCTCTTTACTTGTTTGTAGCAATCCTTTCAATAGTGTTCACTGTGCTGTTGCTCTTTTGTGATGGTTAAATTCTTCCCTCACAGGAAATGGAAGAGTTTGCCCAGAGCTCTGGAGAAAATGGTATTGTCGTGTTTACTCTGGGGTCAATGGTCACTAACATGACGGAAGAAAGTGCGAATATGATTGCATCAGCCCTTGCCCAGATTCCTCAAAAGGTTAGATAAACTACCTTAGAGTAGAAAACTAATGAGTGTGTTAAACTCTGTAAAGCGTCTCGGATTACAGAAATTGCTACATGAAAGGTAAACTATCATGATAGCTCCAATTTATCTCAGATATCAATTTGAAAAACACAATACCCATGGCAGGTGCTAAAGTAGTACAGAGAGTATTTCTGATGGACAATAACTTTGGCATTAACACTGTGATCACAAAGAAGCATATTTAAGAGGCATAGTGTGAAGTCTGGTGTTATAATAGTATCGTAGGCAGGTAAAGATACCACCAAATTCTATCTAGTCATTTGCTCCATTTTCTTGCAGGATCCCTAGGGTTCTGTAAACACTACAGAAGTTCTCAGAATGGAGTTAAATTTTAACAGTAACATTAAACGGGGAATGACAACAGCCTGAAAGGCATGACACAGTTCAGGCTTGACAGGTAATCCAGGCCTCTCTCTCTCTTCCTGAACTTGGGGTTAGGCCTATTCAGTGTTTCAAGGCGATATTCAGAGAAACGATGCCCAGGGCTCACCAAGCTGCACCCAGGGACCCAAGCCAGCCACAGTCATTTAGGGAAAGAGAAAAAGCAGCCTGTAAAAAAGACAGAGAAAACCTCCCTGGTGGCTGGGATCTGCTAAATTCTGAAGCAGGAAGACATAAAAGAAAGGCTGCAGGTGGGCCCAGCCCGCAAGGTGACCCAGTGTTTATAAATGGGCCCCAAAGCAACCCTCAGAAAAATTACTTCTCATGATTGAGGGAGAGGGAGGGAATATAAAAGAGTCCACCAGAAGCCAGCCTAGCACAGACAGTTCCAGACGCCCTCCCCACACCACACACTTCTCCATAAGGTAAGAGAAGAATCGATTATTCTAATACAGAGAATACCCTTGAAGTCTCTGGGCATTTCTGAACCACTTTCAGTTTCCTAACTAATGTAGCTCTCTCCTTATCACGCACGCTAATTGGCTGAGAACTGAAGTAATGTTAACACTCACACAGCAAACAGATGTATAATCCAGCTTAGTAGTGGACTTAGAAATTGCTTGACCATTTATAAATAATTAACCACATTAATCAGTGTTGTCAGTACACTGCGGCACATTCTGAAGTGCTAAGAGTCAATCGAATAAAATGCACCACCATCATCATATTTGATCTTTTCAACAGACAGACTATTATTTATGAAGTGCCAATGGGCTTTTCATTTCTACATTTTAAGAAAATTTTCAATCCCGGCAAGGGTGATAATACTGGATTTATACAAAAATTACCACTTGGAAGTGGTGATTAACAAGTAGCTAAACATACTCATTAAACAGAAATTATTTATTTTTAATAATAAACTGTTAAATGGCATTTAAATTAAGTGATTTAATTCTCGCAAAGAGCTGATTGCATTGATTTTGTAAATCATATGATGTAAGACTGCAATAAAGTAACTTATGAAAGTAGTGAATATAAGTAAAGCACTTCTCCATCATTCAAAAAGAAATAAACAGGTTAACATTAAATCTGGAAGATGAGAGCAGGTATAATAAATAGTTAAAATCAATGTGTAGATTATTAGTAATTTGCTGGGTTTTACACTACAATTATATGACTCCCTAAAAACTTTATCTGCATGAATTGGTCATGGATCATCGCATTTGTCGAACTCCTAAGTGTGAAACGTCACGGTTGCGCTCATTCGTGACTGAATATAAAAATAAGTGCAGGTCGCACGAGTGAGTGCTCCTGTTGCATCAGCGTGTCATTGGGCCTCATTATCTGACGTGTCTGGCCCTCATTTCCTATCTGTAACAGGCAAGGCTTTACCCAGATGCCCCTGAATCTGTTTAGAATTCTAACATGATATAACTGTAGTTTGACTCAAGAAATATGTTACTTTCTTTACCCTAACAGGTTATATGGAGATACGATGGCAAAAAGCCAGACACCTTAGGGCCAAATACTCGGCTCTATAAGTGGATCCCCCAGAATGACCTTCTTGGTAAGATTCTGGAAAACACTGAAATCGGTCAGTTCAGCCAGAATGATAAACAGGTCACTAGGAAGGACATTTATTGAACATTTCTTACTGAAAACCTCAAAAATAAAAATTAAAAATGTCCCAGTATTTATGTCCCGGTCCCAGGGGAAAAGGGTCAGCTGTAACCGTTGGCATCTTATTTCACAGTCACGTTCCTTAGGGCCACAGACCACATGCCTTTGTTTCCTGTAACCACCCCTCGCAGAGCACATCTCTACACTTTCCCGATTATCTCCGTCTCCTATTCTCTCCTTACACCTATCCTTTAACCCACTGCCCCTGAAAAAGATCAGCTCCTCTTGTATTACCAGTGACTCTCCATTTTCCACTGGGAAAAAGCTCAGAATCTCCTTCGGAAGTAATAAGATATTTCATTATAAAGTGCAGCCTTTCCTTCCTCTGATTCCTGTGCCACTGCCATCCCCTTGCCTTCTGCCTTGACTTCTACATATCACACTCAGTGACTTCACTACTTTATTAAGAGAATATATTCTAACATGCCACACCACTTTTCTGTTTTACATACTTTGTTTTTTTAATCCAGAATATTTTCTTTCAGTCTGTCCACTGGCAATTTCTATTCATTTTTGAGTCACAAGAAACACTTTGATCTATGAAAGCCTTCACTGTCTCTCCAGCAGACTTAGGTGCCTCTTCCTATGAGTTCAGAAAGACATTTTAATTCAGTCTGAAGTGCAGACCAATTTGTTACTAAATACGTTGTCTCTGTCAGTGCCTTTATTGCCCAACTCTCATTTTATTCCAAGACTTACAGTTCATAATTTGCTGAAATTCACCCAATCCTAGGTCATCCAAAAACCAAAGCCTTTATAACTCATGGTGGAACCAATGGCATCTATGAGGCGATCTACCATGGGATCCCTATGGTGGGCATCCCTATGTTTGCTGATCAACCTGATAACATTGCTCGCATGCAGACCAAGGGAGCGGCTGTCAGATTGGACGTGAACACTATTTCAAGTACAGGTCTGCTCAATGCATTGAAGACAGTCATCAATGACCCTTCGTAAGTATCACATATTTTTTAATAGATAGTATTTATCGATTAAGTCTTTTACCAATGGTGCATATGAGTTACATCTTATATTTAATAGGCTAATTTTGACATTATTAACATGATTTAACCCATCTTAAATCTTTTTTTATTTTCAATCAGACATTTACTTCAAAATCATAAATTCTTTCAATTCAATACCTAAAATTTCTGAACTATAAGTCTCTTTACACTCATAAATTTATTTTATTATAATCATTTTAACAGATTTTATGAGATATTATTTACATACCATAAAATTCACCTGTTGAAATTATATTTTTCAAATATATGTAGTATGGTTACAGAGCTATGAAAGTATCACCATAATATAAATTCGGGACATTTTCATCATCTAAGAAAGACATATCATATGCCTTAGAAGTCACTTCCCATTCCCCTCCCCCAAGCCTCCATTAATCAACTTTTGGTCTCTACAGGTTAGGCCTTCTGGACATTTCATAACAACAGAACCATACAATATATGGTCTTTTGGAACTGGCTTCTTTCACGTAGCATAATGTTTTTTAGTTTCATCCTTGCTGTAGCTTTGCACTGCTAAATAATATTCTATGATATGAATATAGCACATTTTATTTATCCTCTTATCAGTTTCTGGACATTTTGCTTGTTTCCAAGTTTGGCTATTATGAATATTGCTACTATGATTTTGTGTGAACATATGTAAAGAAGTAAAATTTAAACAGACTAAATCTTTCAAACACAAGTAATGTCTGAGTGGATTTTAAAAATTAACTACAGCCCGGCCGGGCGTACCTCAGCGATTGAGCATAGACCTAGGCTCCAGGCAACCAGGGTTCAATTCCCAGTCAGGGCATGTGCCCGGGTTGTGGGCTTGATCCCCAGTCGGGGTCATGTAGGAGGCAGCCGATCAATGACTCTCTCATCATTGATGTTTCTCTCTCTCTCTCTCTCACTCTCCTTTCCTCTCTCTGAAATCAATAAAGATATATCTTTTAAAAATAAAAACTAAATATACTATTTAGAAGCCATGCTAAATCAAAGTGTATAAGAAGATTGTAAGAAGATAGAAAAAAGATCTATTTCAACAGTGACCATAAAAGAATGTACCTATACTATTATCAGACACAGTAAACCAGAAGCACTACTAAAAGTAAAGATAAATACTTCATAATGATAAATAGTTAATCTTTCAAAACAATACAAATTAGTAATTGGTGATACCTATTAATAAATCCCCAAGTAAAAAAAACAGTAAAAGCAGACTAAAAGAAAGACCAAAATACACGTTTTTAATCATAATAGGATATTTTTAAAGATCTTTTTCTATAATATAAAAAAGCGGAAAAAATAAATATGTAAACAACTAACCAATTTGACATATATACAAATGGTAGAGAACATATATTCTTTACCAACATTAGGAATAGTAATGGAATTGAACATTCATGCTGGGGCAAAACCAAGACTCAGTATTCAAAATTTTTTAAATTGTAAAGAGCATATGTCCATCCAGACTAGAATTAAATTAGAAATAAAAGAAAAACCTAAAGTAAAAAAACCTATAAACTTTGGAAATTAAGCAACACATTTCTAAATAATTCAGAGTCAATGCTGAAATCATAATCATACGTGCACCTTCCTCTCAGCAATTCCCCTTCTAAGTATATACACAACAGAAATGCATAAATAAGTAAACCAAAAAACATACAAAAATATTCACATCAGCATTACTAGAAATAGCTAAAAAAAAAAAAAAAACCATCTAAATGTCCATTGAACATTAGGAAGCAATAACCTGTGGCACTGTCATGCATTGAATACTGTACAGCCATGGAATTAACTACAACTGCTATAGAAAAGATAAAAGTAAGAATTACTATATGATTCCAATATATAAACAAGAAAAACTAATCGATGGTATTAAAAGTAATGATAGCAGTTAATTTATGGAAGGGGTTAGTGAATAAAAGTCCAAGAAAATGTGGACTTTTAGTAGCTTGTAGTATCCTATATCAGTATCTAGGTAGTAGGTACATTGGTATATTTACTTCGTGATAATTTACTAGGTAATTATGAAATTTTGAGCTGTTTACTTAGGATATGTGCATTTTTCTTATTTTTTAATACTGAAATTAAGGGTATACTTTACAAAATGTATGTTTATGTTCTGAGGAGGCAGCAAGTGATACTCAAAGACTGATTTCTGTCTTTGCTAGGAATTTATACAGCACAGGTTCATGTGGGAATTAGAATAATTTCACAAGCCAGTAGCATACAGGATAATATCTCTTCAATAAGCCACATAAAGAAATAACACAAACCAAACAAATAACTGGTTAATCACACTCTTGTTCCTGGCAAAGGGAGAATAAAGTCCAAATTTAATAAAGAATCAGTGACCAACCAAGAGCTGATTTCCAGCTGCCAGCACAAAGGTAAAAGTCCCCCGCTGTGAGAGCAAGTTGCCAGGGAGCAAAGACACCATCGTTGGAAAGCTGGCCGATCTCTTTCACTGGGCTGCTTTGAGGGTTATCACCACTGTCTAAGAGACACATGTCACCAAGGGTCTCTGGAGAGCTTTTAGGTTAATGAAGAGTCACCCTGCCAAACCAAAACTCTCATACAGTCCTCACAAACTCTCAATATTTGTAGTCTAAATGTTTCCTTGCTATATAGTTGCTCCTCCACGTCTTTTTATCAATAAGCTCCTAGGGTGGCTGGGGAGGCCTCTGCTTATGAACAAACACCAGATGTAGAATGACATCCACATCCTCGCAGGACTTACTTCATTCTTGTATCAAAGCAACTTTTGTCTTTGTCTTAAACAAGTTGATTAAAACAACTTCACTTAACTCATAAACAAGTGGATTTGAAATCACATTAAACCAGTGCACTTGTATTTAGAAATCTAGGGATCAAATGGTGAAAAAAAATCAAAAACATAGAAGAAATGACTAGAGGTGCTATAAGTGTGACCAGGAAAAGCTTCTCTGAGACACGACAGTGAGGCCAAGGCCTCCATCAGAAGTTAAAAGCAGCCTTGGGGTGTTGCAAGAAAGACTTCTCCAAAAGAGGGACAGAGGAGACAGAACGTGCAAAGGTACTGAGGTGGAAACATACTTGGCAACTTCATTGAACAGCCAGGAGTTCAATGTGCCTAAAACAGAGTGTGCATAGGACAAAGTGACAGGAGAGGAGATTGCCAGGGGTCTGTCCATTGGCAAAATGCAAAATTCAATCTAGTAAACTTGAAGATCTAATTGGCTATTTTAAGCAATTCATGAATCAGGCAGTATACCATTAGCAACTAGGAGGGCTCTTAGAGGGATTGTACAAAATGGAAGGTTTGTATAGGAAGAGGTGTGTGGCAGGAGAGTTAGTAACAAAAGAAAAGGAAAGATTATTTTTAGACGTGGGCATCTTTTTCCAGGAAAGAAATGGCAAGGGTTTTGTTTTTTAAAAATATATATATATCTTTATTGATCTCAGAGAGAGGCAGAGAGAGGGAGAAAGAGCAATAGAAACATCAGTGATGAGAGAGTTGTCATTGATCAGCTGCCTCCTGCCCCCGACTGGGGAGAGCCCGCAACCCGGGCATGTGCCCTGACTGGGAATCGAACCTCTATCTCCTGGGTCTTAGGTCGATGCTCAACCACAGAGCCATGCCCTGCCAGGCTGGCAANGTCTTAGGTCGATGCTCAACCACAGAGCCATGCCCTGCCAGGCTGGCAAGGGTTTTATCATGGAGATTGCCTCTTCTTCCTATTGGAGATGGAGAGGGTCCAAGTGACAGATTTTCTGATCATTGGTATTGATCAGAAAGTTCCAGACTGGTTGATTAAGGTTATATTTCTGGGAGAAGTTGAAATATCAGTTGAATCGGGTATTAAATACAGGTTTGGCATCATGGTCTTTTAGCAGGAGTAATGCCATTTGGAGCCTATGGTTTTCTCTTTAATACCATGTAGGGTCTTGTAGACCAAAAAAGGTTTGGAATTTATTCTAAATGGGCTGAGAAGCCAGATGGAAATTTTGACAGGAGAGTGTAATAATCTTATGTGCTTCAAAATAATTATCATTCTGGTCAGAAAATGGATAACAGAGTTATGAAGAGAAGAGTAGAAACATAGGGACTAGTGAGGAGGCATTTCTCTCGCCATCATACAATTCCTCTTTAAAAACTCCAAATGCATTGTCCTAAAACTGCATTTCACCGTTTGATTTATGTTGAACAAAGAAAGTCCAAACCTATCGAAAAATTTTTATAAACATTTATTTGAGCTAATAACTGAGGTCCAGAAGCAATATCAACAAATGAAAAAAACGCTCTTGAGAATGGCAGTTTGGCAGCTCTTTCTTTGCCTTTACAATCAAAGGAGAAGACACAAGAAATGTTACATGACATCCATTAGTAGATTAAGGAAGCAGGAGAAAGCAAAGTGGAGGTGGCCGGCGGGGGAGGTGCGGGGGGATCTCCAGGACTGGATAAAAAGTAAAATGGAGATACATACTTCTTTTACGTTGGTAGGTACAGAACAGTTAACATTTAACATTTATAGAAAATACAGCTGCCTTGTGGGCAACAGGAGAAATTTGTGGTCACTGTGCTCTGGTACTTGCGGTTATGCCTTCGAGAAATTACTCTGGCATTTCAAAGGTATATTATCCTAGATGCATTAGAACAATGGACAGGCTCATTTAAGCGTAAAGATTAGCCTTTCACTAAGGAAGCTAGAGGCTTGGGAAGAGACAACTGACAAGGACCTGCCCAGTTAGAAATTTATGATCAGATCATCTTGCGTGCTTATTTTGGGTCATGGAGCTTGTCAGGCCTGCCATGTAGCCCCTGTTTCATTCACATTTATAGCCCTTAAAATAACTCCTATCATTTCCTCTGCTAAAAAGATGTAATTTTCCCACCCTCTCTTCCATCTTCACTTTGTAAAATATTTGTCATCAGAAAATTCCAATTTAAAAGCTAAACTTTCTATGTAGACCCAAATGATATTCTTCTTCTG